TAGCGCATAGTTCTAGCACGTGTACTTCTTCGAACCGATCGCGAATCTCCCTTTTTACCGCGCCGTTTCACATCAGCGAAAGTACTTTCGTCGGACGAAGTCATATGATCGTAGAAATCCTCTTCTTCCTCCGAACTTGTACCTTTGAAATCTTCGTCGCTTTCTGGATCGTCGTCGCTGCTTATGTCCAGACTGTTCAGTTTACGATGTTTTTTGCGCGATAATAATTTCCTCACTCCTCCTCCTTTGTGTTCTTCTTCATCGTCTTCCATACCATCTTCTCCTTCGATTTTGTATTCTTCGTCGCTATCTTTCTCCGATTTCCTATCAATATTATTTTTGGTCTCTTGCGTCTCCTCCATATTTAAATCTTCGTGTTTGAAATTAAGCTGTGAAAAGATTTCATTAATTCGAACCTTGACGAAACACGATCAAGTACGAGATACAATCGCATCGAGATGTACGATCAACCTTTACTGGTCCGACATACTGGCCAATATACATATACGTAACGATCGCTTACAAGCTCGGTTAGTGTACATGCCGTGTAGGTTGGACGATTAGACAAATTTTCCATACAAAGATTTCAGCCTCTTTTAATAACTCTCGATAACATTACCTCTGCTTCCTCTTTCTTCGCATTTACTATAGTTGATATGTCTTTCCCTCTTCCTTGATTTCCAGCACCCTGAACCGCCTCCACTTCGTCTTGAATGGCGGCATTGATCATGGCATCGTAATCATTAAATTTATACCTATTCGCGGATCGTCTTTCGCGCAACTGATACACAGGTTCGCTTTCTTCGCTGGACGATGTTTCCGAACTCGACGAAGAGGAAGAAGTCGACGATTCTATAGAAAATTTTAGATAGATTCCAACGATTATGCTTAATTAGAAATTATACAAGATTACAATAGAAAATTGGTTAAGGAAACACGCGATATACCATTGTCAGACTCTTGACTAGAAGCCTTCGACTCTTTCTGACGCGGCAATTCATTTTTATGGAGAACATTGTCTAAACTTATACCGACAAAGGCCAGTCTTTTCTTTCTCAACACTTCGTTTTCGTGCCGTTTCGCTACCTGATCGTACGTTTTCAAACTTTCTTGCAATTTGATCACTAGTAAATTCTGAAATGGATATTAGAAACGGGTGAATTTCATTCGATGTAATTCGTTTCACGTTGATCGGTGTTCGCGAGCACCGATATACAAACACTCGACTCACATGTTGGCACGGTGGACAGAACCAATCACCTTCGGGTATTAGCATAAGCGCGGGTCTAAGACAAGAACAATGCCAGCCTTTGTCGCACGAATCGCACAAAAGTATCCATTCCGGATGATCTGCCTTGCCACATTTCTGACAAGCGTATTCATCGTCCGCTTCTTCGACATCGCTCTGAGCTAAAAATCCGGACGAAAGATCGCGATACATTTATGAAATAACCAAAACATTAGAACGCTTCGCATTAATTCTAATGCAATCGATCGATACCTTTCTGAGCAGTTCTAGCCCTTCTCAATGGTTCCGATTCCTGATCTTTTTCGAGATCGCTTTCCGGTGAAAATTCATGATCGCTCTTGAACAGTAAAGATCCTTCGCTCTCTATATCTTCTTCTTCGTCTTCTTCTTCCTCATTTTCGTTCTCTTCGTCGCTACTAGAACCGGAAGAACTTTGCCATGGATTTGCTTCGTTAAATTTTGACAGCATTTTCTTCTTTTTTCTTTTTCTTCTTTTCTTCTTAGACTTTTTTTCTTTCTCTATTTCCTTTATCACAACTTCTTCTTCGCTTTCAGG